AATCATTTTTCTATAATTTTTTTTTTTTTTTTCGGGTAAATTAAAAAATAAAAAATAAAAAAAGTGCGTGATAAATGTTTTTTTTTTATCATTACGCTTCTATTCTCTTCCCCTCTACCCTCCTCTTTCTACCCTCCTCTACCTCCACCTAAACCTAACTTTAAGGTTCGTGTTTATCCTTCTGGAATAAAAAAAATTGAAAATATTTGCGACTGCTAAATAATTAAAATTTTTTTTCGTTTCCTGTTGAATCCACAAAAAAAAAACAAAAATTTTTAATCGATTTAATACGTGTCAATAAATTAAACGATGATCACGAAGATGATCACGATGATGACACGTTAAAACTTTTGGGAAAAAAAAAAAATTTTTTTTAACGATTTTGTTTAGGGAAACAAAAAAAAAAACAAAAAACAAACCGTAAAAAATTAATTTTAAAAAAAATTTCCTGTCGGTTTCACGATTATGATGTCACTTCTTTCTTTTACCCCCTCTGCCCTTCCCCCCCAAAAAAAAATTTTTTTAAGAGGGGAAAAAAGAGAAAAAGGGTAAACGTTTTGTGACAAATGATTTTTTTTAAAAAAAAAAATTTCACGGGAGTCTGATAATGATGATGATGATGATCATTTCAACGTACTGTTGGAAAAATTTGTGTTTGTCGTTTGTTTTTTGTGTGAGAATATTTGATTCCGATTCTAAAACCACGAAAAATTATGATGAATGAACGACAAACAAAAAGAAACATTCTCATTTATTATTATTATTATTATTATTATTATTATTATTATTATTATTATTATTATTATGGAACAAACGATGAAATGTAGTAAAACGTACGTAATTTGTTTTTAAAAAAAAATTGTTTTTTAAATTCGAAACGTTTCCTCCTTTTTTTATTTTCTAATAATAATAATAATAATAATAATAATAATAATAATAATAATAATAATAATAATAATAATAATAATAATAATAATAATAATAATAATAATAATAATAATAATAATAATAATAATAATAATAATAATAATAATAATAATAATAATAATAATAATAAATTTAAATGATTGATTGATTGAATGACTGATTGAATGAAAAAAAAATTGTTTTATTTTTTCCTGCCTCCCTTTGTAGAATTTTTTTTTTTTATTAAAATTTTTACGTTTAATTATTTTATTATTATTATCATCATAACGACTTTATTTATTTATTTAAATGAAAAAAAAAAAAAAAACAAATTATTTAATAATAATAATAATAATTTTTCGTTTTGAATTTTATTAATAAATAAATAAATAAAATAAAATAAATAAATAAATGAAATAATGTCAAAGACAGATAAAAAAGTTTAATTGAAATTTATATTAAAAAAAAAAAAAGAAAATTTTCTTTTTTTTTTATTTTTTTTTTCTCATTCAGATTGAAAACGAGAGTGGAAAGAAAAGAAAGCGGTGTGGCGGTAGTGGCGGTGTGGGTGTAGAAAAAGGCGGCGGTAAATAAATTCGAAAGGGGGAGGGGGAAAAGAGACAAATGATAAAAAAAATCATCCGCCTTTTTTTTTTCTAATTAACGAAATAATAAATAAAAATTTATTTTTTCATTTTTATTTTATCATTAATGTATTTATCGATTTCCGGTTTATTAAAATAATTAATTATATAATGCGCGACGTTAACAAAAAAAAAAAAAATTAATTTTAATAAATCAAACGGAAACGGAAGTGAAAGAGTCGAAAAAGGGAATAAATGAAAAATCCTTTTACTACTACGACTTTAAACATTAAAAAATATTAATTATTATTATTATTATTATTATTTACTAATAAAATTTATTTATTTATTCATTTCCTCCCACCTCCTTCCCCTCCCTCCTCGTCATTTTACGAATAATAATAATAATAAATAAATAAATTCGACCGTTAACGGATGGAAAAGTGACGTAGGTTTGAATTTTGCGATAGATTCGGTATCGATTTGACCTTGAAAGAAAAAAAAGGGGATGGAACCGATGGTGATAAGTAAAATTTGACCTTTTATCAAAACGAACGAGTAGTTTTGTGATTTTGTAAAAAAGACAACAACGCACGTTTCCATCATCATCATCATCATCATCATCATCATCATCATCATCATGGTGAAATTAACATCGGTTATTATAAATAAGATAATTGATGAGAAAAATATTTTGTCACGACGATTCAAAAGAAGAAAAAACTATTATTATTATTATTGTGACGCATCATATTTTTATTAAATATATATATTGTTAAGTTGGTAGCCGTGATATAGTTGACAGTGATAAAAGTTGGTAAAAAAAAAAAAATTTTTTTTATCGGGAATTTTTTTTTCGAAAAACTAAAGAAAATTCCCAGGAAATGTTTTTGTTTTTTCTAAGATTATCATTTCGTCTGCTGAAAAAAAAAAAAAAATGATTTGTGCGTGAGGAAATGCGTGCGTTTGAAAAAATGATGATGATGATAATGATAATTTTGCGGTTATTTTTAAATTGATTGTTGTTTTTCTCATAACGATAACAACAACAACAAAAAATTACAATTTTTTTTTTTTTTCGATGGTTTTTGTCAAAGTTGTGTGCGTGTGCGTGTGCGTGCATTAAAATTATGGTTGAGTTGTCATGATTTCGTGATTTTAAACGTCATTATCAAAACTATTCGGCCATTTTTTTTTTATTAAATTGTTTTGATTTTTTTTATATCATCTTCCTTCCAGCGATTTTTTTTTTTTTTTTTTATTATTTCGCGTAAGTTTTTTTTTTCAAACGTGTGTTGACGAATCGAACGGTTAATTAAAGTTAATTTTAAACGAATAAAAAATTTTTCCGTTCGGTAATAACAACAACAGCCGAACGGAATGGAAAAAAAAAAAGAAAATTTCCATTTTGAATTTTTTTTTAAATTTAAATTTTTAAATGTAAATAATTTTTTCTTTTTTTCCTTTAATATGTAAAATTCTCGCTGCTAAAGATAAGTAAAAAGAAAAAAAAAGGTAGACTGAGAAAGAGAGTGAGAGAGAGAGGAAAAGGAAAAACTCAAAAAATAATTTTTTCTTTTTTTTTTTTTTGTATGGATCTATCATGCTCGACAACGAAGAAAAAAAAAATATTTGAATTTTACCAAAAAAAAAAAAAAATTAAAAAAAATTTACAAAGAAAACTTTTTTTGTATAAAAAAAAAAAATTATTAAACGGTAAAAAAAAAAAAATCTCATCACGAAACTTTTAATCAAAAAAAAAAAGAAAAAAATTTAAAAAAAAAATAATTTAAATGAATTTTTTTTTTTAAATAAAAAAAAAAATATTTTTAATACAATATACCCGTATATAAAATGTATTTATTTGAATTTTCCTTATCCGTCCCTGCCCTCCTCATCCCTTTCCCTTCTCATACCTCCTCGCATAATCCTTTTTAACATTTTTTTAGCCTCGATCGCTTTCTTTCTTCCTTTTTCATCTTTTATAATAAAAATAAAAATAAAAAATTTTTTAATTTTTTCAATGTTTTTTACTGTATGGAGTAATTTTAAGTAGGTACTTTTAATGTCACAACCCTTCATATAAGTTTAGCGTAGAGATTTCAGGACATGGCTAACGAAATCGTCGTACGATGGTTCGAAGCCCGACCATGAAATTTTTTTTTTTTTTTTCGATTTTTGAACCGTCAGATTTTTTAGAATTTCGCTAAAAAAGGCACATGATAATAATAATAATAATAATAATAACAGTAATAATAATAATGATGATGATAATAATAATAGTAATAATGATGATAATAATCGAGAGTTTATTCCCAAGAAATCGGAAGAGGTAAAGAGAAACCTGAATTTAAAATAAAATTCGTCGCGTATAAAAGTGAAAATAATAATAATATTATTAATAATAATAATAATAATAATAATAATAATAATAATAATAATGGTATTATTAACCGAATTTTTTTGTATAACATTTGATAAATTTACGACAACAGAAAAAAAAAAACAAAAAATGTCGACCTCACTCGAAATGTATTTAATTACGATACCTTATACGTATTAGGTACGCATTAATTTTAGTTTGAAAAAAAAAATCAAATGTTTAACTTATGAGTAAAAGAAATTTTTTTTTTTTTTTTTGAAGATGAACAAAATTTTTTTTTTTGTATAAAAACAATAAAAAAAATTTTTTTATTATTGCGACTTGGGCTTGGCGACTTTAATCCATTTAACCAAAAATGGTTTGTCTGATTCCACAACCTGGGCAATAACGTTTAACCTGCGGTAATATCATAACTACTACTACTAACACGACAAACGTACACGTTGATTTCTTAATAAGGTTTTTTTTTTTGTGTTGAATTTTCATCATGACAATTATATATACGACTGATCTCGTTTTCCAAATAAAAATTTCCGACATTTTGTCGTGCGTGGAAAAAGCGAAAGAAAAAAAATTTTTTTTTTATGTTGTCCACCCTGTGTAAACGAATTTCTCTGTTAAAATCAAATCAATCCAATCTTCTCCAGCCCTCATCATCATCATGTTTTGCATGAAATCTTCTTTATTTTATCAAACAAAAAAAAAAAAGCTTTATTTACGTGGTTTTAAACAATGACTCGTTTCTTTTTTTTCAATCGCAATAATAATAATAATAATAATAAATTCTTGTTATTTCCACGTCAAATTTTTAAATCGAATACAAATTTCCGATATGAAGAGTCTATTGAACTGCTCACTTAATTACAAATAAATAAATAAATACAACACGTTCGTTTTAAAAATTTTTCTCCATTTCAAAACAAAAACAACAACAAAACAAAATAATAATAATGATAATAATAGTAATAATAATAATAATAATAATATTAACAATTAAAAAAATAAATAAAAAATTCAAACGATTCGATTGTTTCGTACGTTAGTAAAATAAAAGAGAGAGAGAGAAGGGAGGAATTTTAGGGTGAGAAAAAATTATTATTATTATTATTATCATCATCATCATTATTATTATTATTATTATTATTATTATTATTATTATTAATAAAAATACGGTAACGAATTTTTGTTTTGTTTTTTTATTTTTAAAATTTCGGGAGAGTGATTTATCGATCGAGTAAAAACAAATAAAATTTTGTATATAAAAATAAAAAAAAAAAGGTTCGTTTTTCGAAAAAACCTTTTTTTTTCGTATTCCTAAATCATTATTATTATCATCATCATCATCATCATCATCATCGTCATCATCACCTTTATAAAACTTTTTTTTTTTTTTTTTAAATAAATAAATAAATAAAAGGCAAAGAAGAAGAAGGAGAAGGAGGAGGAGAAATTTTTTTTTTAAACTCACGCATGGAATTTAACAAATTGAAAATGACACGTTCGACCATAATAAATTTTATTTTGAATGAGTTATGGGGTTTCGACCTGTATAAAAAAAAAAAAAACTTTTCTGTCGCAGGTTGTCACCTTCGATTAACAACTTTTATCCTAGCAGAAGACAAAAAAAAATATATATATTTATATACACGAATATAAAAATGGTTTTATTAAAAAAAAAAAAAACAAATTTTTCCTTTTGTTTAAAATATCTCTCTGTCTCTCTCTCTCTACTTTGATTTATTTTCATGTTAAATCTTTTACTGTATCTCTGTACGAAAAGAAGAAAAAAAAACGTGGCAAAAGACACGACGAAGACGACGACAAAAAAAAATTTTTTTCACACACAAAAAAAAAAAAATTATTTATATATTTATTTTAAAATTAAAACGTTTCCGTGTTTCCCCCTTTCCCCCACCACCACCACCACCACCACGAAGGTTATAGCATCGTATTAATAAACAATTATTATAGCTTTACAAAACTCTATAATAATTTTTATAAAGAGAGAAAGAGAGAGAGTAGAAAAAAAACGAAAATTTTTGTTTTATCAAACTATAAAAAAAAAAAAAAAAACGTGTATATATCATATCTAGTAATGTGAATATTTTGCATATCTCATATCATATCACCTATTACTATAACTATAAAGAGCTATATTTTGTAATATACGAGACCGGCAACGAAAAAAAAAATTTTCGTTTTTTTTTTTTTTAAAAAAATCTTTCGGGTAAATTTTTTACTTAGGGGCATACCATTCTTTTTATAAATTTCTTTTTTTTTTTACTCTCCTCCACCTTATGCTCTCATACTTGAAGGTTTTCCCAAATGCGTAATAAAATGAAAATTTCACATTTTTCCCAGGCAAAAAAAAAAAGAAAAATATGTATCCTTTTTAAAATTCAAAATTTGTTTTTTTTTTCCTTTTTTTTCCTTTGTATTTATTTACCTTTTTTTTACATTGCATTGCGACGACGAAATCATTATTATTATTAATCGATTAATCGTTTATCGATTTTTTTTTACCCCCCCGTTCTCGTTTTTATTTATTCGTTTCCGGTGGAAGCGGGAAAATTTTAAAAATTATAATAATTTATAGTTTTATAAGGGGGTGGCGGGTAGAAATAGCAGAAGATATTTTTTTTTTTTAATATTTATTATTTTACGTTTATAGTTTTATAACCCGAAGGCGGTGGTTGTGGTGTTGGAGGTGGTGGGGGGGTGTGGTTGTTATGTAAAAATGTGAAAACGTTTCAATATGACACTAAATTTCACATGGTTTTTTTTTATTTTTTATTTCTTTTCCTTTTTTTTCTCCTTTTTTTTCCTTTTTTCCCATCTCTCTCTCTCTCTCTATCTTTGTCTCTCTCTCTTTTTTTTTTATTCTCTCCGTGTGCAATATTTAATGTTTTTTAAAACGTTTTATTTTTTTTATTTTTTTTAAAACGCGTATTTAAAATGTTATATTTATATGCGATTCATACGGGCGGTCGCGTGAAAATCCAAAGATGGGAAAAACGTTGTGGGGCGGAGGGAAGGGGAGGGAGGTTGGAAAATACGAAGGATTCGTAATATGCAAAAAAAGAAAAGAGAGAGAGAGATGGAAAAAGTATCTGCCTACTTCGTATAATTTTTTGTTTCGAATTTCGAATACACTTCGTAACGACGTACATAAAATATTATTTCATTTCCGCCATTTTTGTTTTTTTATTAACAAAACGAATAAATCGATTGATTAATAATAATAATAATAAATTATTTGAAATTTTTTTTTTGTCTTTTCGTTTCTTTCCCCCTCCCATTGTTTTCCATTTCATTCATTTTGAAAAAAAACGAATAATAAATAAATAAATAATTCATTTTTTTTTAAATTCAATGGATAATAATTAATAAAATATAATTTTTTTTTTTAAAAAAAATATAAATAATAATAAATTGTCGGGGGGTAATTGTAGCGTGGGGGGAGGGGTGGAGGAACGGGAAACAACCCCACCGCAAAAGGTTTTTATTAAAACAATAAGATTAAATGGAAAAAAAAAGAAAAAAAATCATTAATATTTCCGCCCTTGTTTGTAAAAAGAAACAACAAACTTCGTCCTCCGACTCCCCCTTGACCCCTCCTACCCCCCTACTCCCCCACAAAAAAAAAACAGGAAACGTATGAAAAAAAATTAAAAAAAAAAAGCGTAGGACTGCCGCCACGTCTAGACGAAAAAATTGATTCTTAAAAAAAAAATTAAATAATACAATGAATCGTATTGTGATTATCGTATTGATACGAGGGGGGAGGCGGCGGAAGGGAGAGAGGGAGGAAGGACGGGGGGAAGGGTAGGAGAATACGGGGTTGGTTGAACCCCACCCGAAATCGCCGCCGCCGCCGCTGCCGCTCCTTTGATCACTTTTCATCTTTAAATCATTCAAATTTTTTTTGTATGTCATCGATTTATTTTTTTTTTTTTTTTTTGTTCACGAGATTCCACCCTCGTGTTTTTTATCGGACAATAATATTACGTGTGATAAGTAAACCATGTGACTAATCGTTTCTTCTGACACTTTGTTTTTTTTTTTTTTTTTAAACTCAACACTCGAATTTTGAATTTAAAAAAATTTTTATAAATACTCTCGTACTCTCTCCGCCATGTTTTTAAATTTTTCTGTAAAATTTTTTTGGCGTCAGACATCTTAAATCACCTTAAAAATTTTCCCTCTCTCTCACTCATTTACAACCCAACAAAATCGATGTTTAATAAGGTATCGCATTAATCACTTTAAAGGTAAACCTCTATATTGTGAGGGGATGAAGAGGGTTTAAGGGATGAACAGTTAGATGTTTGAAATTTTGTTAATTTCATTTGGAAAAAAAAAAATATTAATTTAATTATTTACCGTAAAAAAAAAAAAAAAAAATCAATTAAATCGATAAATCAAAACGTCAATTTTTTTTGTAACCCAAGGTCAAAGGGGCGTAACTCTGACGTCAAAAAAAAAAAAATAATAATGATGATGATAAAACATCAATGAACGTTTAAACGGATTCGAACTCCGAAAAAAAACCACACTTACTAAATCAGGTACGTTCGATTTTTTTTTTGTAAAAGAATAAAAAAAAAATTTTGGTTTAGTAGTAGTGGTTAGTTAGTAGTTTAGTCAAAATGTTAAATTTTTGACAAGGTAAATAATACAGGTGTGTGTGTGTGCGTTCGTTTGTTCGTTTGTTGTCTACGTTTCGTTTGTTCTCCAATGATTATGATGATGATGATGACTTCTCGATTTTTAACCGTTTAAAAGAGTTTTTCTTCTTTCTTTCTTTCCCCCCGATTTTTTTTTCTATAAGAATATTTGAAATCGGATCAAATATTTAAAGAAAGAGAGAACGAGAGAGAAGGGGGGGAGAGAGGGGGGAGAGCAGGGGGGAGAGAGAGAAGTTAAAAAAAAATTATAATTGTTATTATTTTTTTTATTTTCGGGTTATGAACCAGGTGTAATCGAGCCCTTTTTTTTTTTTTTACAATCCTAAATTTTATTTTAATTAAGGGTTGAAGCTACCGTTTGTGAACCTTTTTCTCACTCACTACAACTTTATTAAAAATTAATATAATGGCAAATAAGAATTTAATTACAGTTGAAAATACACATGCACACGCACACGAACACACACAAAAGGAATCCGTCGAGATTGTAACCCCTTACCCCCCTCTCTCTCTCCCCTTCCCATTCAAAATGTTTAATTTATATTATTTTATTCTTTTTTCATTCGGTTAAAAATCATTTCTAAGGTTATGTTTTAATAAGAGAATGAATTTTTTTTTTCATTAGAAAGAGAGAGAGAGAGGATATACGTATGTGTGTGAAACCGTGGGAAAAAAACGGTTAAAACAAAAACAAAAAAGAAATGAACAAGAGGGAAATAAGAG